TTATTATTATTATTATTATTTATTATTAACCAAACAAAAGCAAGAAAGTAAAAGCAAAAGATGCCACAGAGACACCATCTTCTGACTTAGACCACCGAGTGTTACCATAATTCAACCCTCAAAGATTCACTCTCCTACACTTTTTCTTCTTCACTCTTCTAGCTTCACGGTTAGTTCACTCCATTTTCACTACATCACTCTCACTTCTTCACCTCTTTTGCGATTTTCCTTTTTCCATTCCCGATTCTCTCATCTCTGCATTTTCTTCTTTTGATTTCTGCATCGTTCTTGATTACTGATTAATTAATAGGTTTCAAAATAGGTTTTATTATGCCTTTTTCCTTTATAGTTAATTCGGATAGCATTGCATGAGTTGTGTTGTTAAAGATTGTGTTTCTGTTAACGGATTCGTCATCGAGTTTCGCTACTGGAGTTGAATTTCATTGCGGTACGGTTTTTTTACACTGATTCTAAGCGGTTTAGATGACTGTGGATGTGTTGTGCGTGATTCTTTGGAATTTTGAGGTTCGGGAGTAATGGAAAGTGAGTTAAGAAAATATTATGGCGTTGAGGTATGACACGCTAGGTTGTCAGGACATGCATGCTTGTGTTGTGTAGCATAAGGCTTTGGAATATGTTGCTGATGATGTTCACTTTTATATTCCTCTACAAATAATCTGCCATATCAGATGTTAATAAATTGAAGAGTGTTTTATAAAAGAAATCTATAGTGTGTTTTAATCTTAATTAATGCTGAAGAATGATGGTGTTGATCACACATGGAACCAATTTTTTTAAGGGGACAGTCTGAAGTAATTAACTGCACATATCTGTGTTGTGATGAAGATAATATTATGCTGGTTTTTGTGGAAAAAATAAGGTTGGTGATAGGTTTAAGATACGCGACAGACTGACAGTATGAATTATGATTAGATTTAGATATTTGGTTCTTGTGTTGTAGATTTTAGTTGATAAAGGCCATTTTTGCGATCAAAACCTTGCAGCAATGTGATCCTTTTATTTTAGGTTTTCAAGAATTGATAATGGATACAATAGTTAAATTGGATTTTAGTCACTCTAGCATTATGATTTGTTGTTTACTGTTTTACATATACTACTATATTACCCTTCTCACATTTTATTCATCTTAGGGTAACTATCAAATTGACGAGTGTTCCCCCTCTTACTCTCTCTGTGTGCATTGTTTTCCTTTATTTTGGAATCAATGTTTTCTTGTTTATAATTTTTACGTATATTACAATATATTTTAGATATACAAATTTAATGAAAACTTGTAGAGGAGGGATTTTGTTTATTGAACACATTAGATTGAGTCACTTATACTCTTACAATTTACAAGGCTGGAGTAGAGTAATATCCTTTCTCAATTTTCATGTGTTATTTGTTTCATGGTTTGCTTGCAAATTTCTTAATCAGAAAAGTTTGCTGTGAATTTTATGAAGTAGGATATAATTTACTTTGTGAACATTAAGAATTTAACTTGAACTTCTACTAGCTTCACATCCCAATTTATCTGTTACATGATACATATCTTCTACACAAAGTCCTTAATGAGCGAAAACATATAAGCTAAGGTACTCTAACCTTCTTATTTTTTCTTATTTTTGATATTTCTTTTGTATTTAGTTGCAGAATAAATGTATAAGAGTGATTTCCTTCAGGACCAATCCCTATGGAGGTAGCTTTCTTAATTAAATTCCTTGGTATTTTTCACTGAGCTGGTTGAGACTTCACATTTATTCTGATTTCTACTGATGAATACTTGGCATAGGTGGTAATGCATTGGAATCTCTGGTGCTGCATTCTTTTGGGATATCTTCATATATATTGTATTTCTCTTAGTTCAGGACATCACCTGAATAAGAGTATTGGCTTAGAGAGGTGGTTGGGTTATTCTGGGTCACTTGTGCGAGACGATTCTCAACTCCATGATTCTGCATTTGGTGACACATCAACTTTGTCATCACCATTGAATGTCTTAGTCTCTTGTGAGGACTTGGAAGGTGTAGGATCTTTTAATACCACGTGCTTGCTAAGCTCAACTCATTATTTAAAATCTGATATTAACATTTATGGCGTTGGAAACCTGGAGCTACTTTCTGATGTGTCGCTTTTATGCCCTGTGGAAGGGTGCATGATATCAGTAAATGTGTCTGGCAACATTAAACTTGGTCAAAATGCATCCATTGTTGCTGGTTCTGTGGTTTTATCTTCAGCCAATCTGACTATGGAATGCAATTCTTATCTAGACTCATCATCTTTAGGTGGGTCACCACCTTCCCAAACTAGTGGAACTCCTGTTGGCAGTGACGGAGCTGGTGGAGGGCATGGTGGGCGTGGTGCATCTTGTTTAAAAAATAATAAGACAAACTGGGGTGGTGATGTTTATGCTTGGTCTACATTGTCTGAACCATGGAGTTACGGGAGCAAGGGTGGTGGGAAATCTCATATAAAGCAATATGGAGGGAATGGTGGAGGACGTGTTAAGCTTCTAGTGAAGGACACTTTATATGTAAATGGATCTATTACTGCAGAAGGAGGAGATGGGGGGTCTGATGGTGGAGGTGGCTCTGGTGGAAGTATATGGGTTCATGCTGTTAAGCTGTGAGTATGATCTGCTTGTTAGTCTATGAACTTATACCTGTTTTTTCATTTTACGACTTCTAAATGACTGTTTAGGGGGCCATAGCTATTATTTGAAGAGAGAAATGCTGTTTATTTTTGGCATTTAAGTCACTTCTACGAACAGTTACAACATCATAGCTAATAGTTTTTCACATGTAAATGGTTTTCGAAGTTTAGATGATGAGAAAATAGCAAATGTTGGTAATATTTTTTAATGATATTGATGGCAGAGAATTGTAGCTTTTGTTGATGATGGCGTAGTGCTTAATATTCTATTTAGATGGATCTGCCTTGGCATTTGGTATGGTCAATTACAATTGCAGAGGTAGTAATCTTTTTCTTTCAAAGAATGTGGATGTTTTTTGGAAATGTCTTGTTCTTGTTGAAGGTTTGAGTTGTTTCCAGTTCTTAAAAGTGCCATATCTGTATTGAAGGTTTTGTAGGGAACTACTACATGTTATATAGTGAATTGTGCTAGTAACTTTTCTTTTCAACTTTATTTTTGGTGGAGTGTAGGAAAGGGTATGGTACCGTTAGTGCTGCAGGTGGGAGAGGATGGGGTGGAGGGGGTGGAGGAAGAATATCACTGGATTGTTACAGTATACAAGAAGATTTAAATGTTACGGTTCATGGTTAGTTCTATTTCTCACCTGTACATGACATGTTAATTATACCAATGATGACTGCTGCTTAATCTTTTATTATATTGTAAGGGTGTTAAGGTTAGGCTATGTAAATCAAAATACCATTAATTATAATTTTTTTTTGAACAAATAAAGGTTTTCAGTTTCAGTTTTCTATGCAAACATAAGCAAACCTTTCTTGTTTTTGTTATTGCTTTAAAAGATGGTGTCCAGAACCTATTCAACTAGGAAACCTCCTAACTCGTCAGATTTACTATGGAATTATGAAGATTTTGGAAGATTGTTCCCCTGATTTTGATTCTGGAATCTATCCGTCATTATTCCTGATTAGAGGCACAGAGTTTAAATTTTTTGGTGGTGCTGA